ATTTTTTCTTTTTGCTTATGTGGTGCTGAGGAATCGAACCCAGGGCCTCAGGCATGCAAGGCAAGCACTCTACCACTGAGCCACCTTCCCAGCCCCTAGCTTTTAATTTTTTAAAATCCCTAACCAACAGTATAGTAAGTAGTAAAAAATTAAAAACACAGTTATTAGGAAGAGTAACATCTACTAGTTATATACCTTGTGAATAAGGTCCAGAATTTCCTGACTGCTTTCTAAAACACAAAACTGAAAAATGTGTCGAAGCATATCAGACAGGATAGGTATAAGCCAAGATGAAGAGTTCTGCAAACAAAAATAGAATCAAAGCAAATTAATTTAAGAAAATATAATCAAACAGATGTCAGCCTACCTAAAGTATATATATGTTATTAGATGAAAATATTGCATTGTTTTATCAAAAAAGTTCACCTAACCATAGATTCTGGTTAGATTTAAAGGCAACAAGTACCCACTGATTACTTCAATAGTTTGGAGAAATTACATAGTATATAATCAGAAAGGAGCTAGCTCAATTATTGTTAGTCAAAATTATCTGTTGATAGTTGAACTGTCTCCTGTCTAGAAGCAAATCACATCAGCAGTCATTTTGGTGACATCAAATATCACTGCTTTGTTAGGGAGATCTGGAAAATGATCATGTTATTGCTGCTGTGCTATAAGTGTTTAAGTTCTACTTGTTAAACAGTAATACAAGTAATGAGTTATATAACATCCATCCTAGAAAACTGTACTTTTGAGTTTACTACAAGGCAAATTCTTAATTTGAAGGAGGTATGCACATTCTTTTTAGATAAACTTATATACATAGGTATACCATTTTGTTTCCAATTCCAGCAGGTCCCAATGTCTCCTCACATATAGGAAGAACCTCAATCTAAAAGATTTTTCAACAATTCAAAAACCCACCCAAATCAAGCAAGCAAATGTCTATTGTGTGCCAGAACTCTACAAACAAGGAATCAGAAATGCTGTCATTGCTCTTTAGATAATTAAAAGCATCCGTGGTATACTCATAAAATAAAGAGTATTACTCAGTAATTTAAAAATGAGCTAAGAGCCGGGTGCCGGTGGCTCACGCCTGTAATCCCAGTTACTCAGGAGGCTGAGATCGGAGGATCACGTTTCAAAGCCAGTCCAGGCAGGAAAGTCTGTGAGACTCTTATTTCCAATAAACTACTAGAAAACCAGAAGTGATGCTGTGGCTCAAGTGGTAGAGCACTCGCCTTGAGCTGAAGAGCACAGGAACAGCACCCAAACCCAGAGTTCAAGCCCAACGACTGACCAAAAAAAAAAAAAAAAGAGCTAAGGCTCATGAACCAGGCTCTAGGGCCATGCCTACAAGCCTGCAGTCTAGCTTCTCCAAAAGCTAAGATCTGGAGGATCATGTGCTTCCCCCAACACACACACACTCACTCACACTCACACACACACACACACCATCTACAAAACGTAGAGTAAATCATGTGCTCCCCCCATCACACACACACACACACACTCTACAAAACGTAGAGTAAATCATGTGCTCCCCCATCTCACTCACACACACACACACACACACCATCTACAAAACGTAGAGTGAACCCAAAAGTATGGACTTTAGTTAATAACAATCAATATTGGCCTATCAATTATAATAAATGTACCACCTGAATGCAAGGTATTAACAGGAAATTGTTTGGACAGTAAAAGAAATAAAAAGCACATATCTAGAGAACTTTCTGGACTTTTCCCTCAATTTTTCTGTAAATCTAAAATTGCTCTCAGTCTATATGCTTAAAAAAAAAAAAGCCATGTAAAATAAAGCGATTTGATGACTTCAAGAGGTTTGTCCAAAGTAAATTTAAAAATACACAGGGCTGGGAAGGTGGCTCAGTGGTAGAATACTTACCCTGCATGCATGGGGCCCTAGGTTTGATTCCACAGCACCACATAAGCCAGAAAAAGCCAGAAATGGCACTGTGGCTCAAGTGGTAGAGCACTAGCTTTGAGCTAAAGAGCTAAGGGACAGTGTCCAGGCCCAGAGTTCAGGCCCCATGACCAACCAAAAAGAAAAAGAATACTCAGAAACATTTTGTCATTATTTGGGGGTTGAGAAGAGGTTGGGTGGAAGGTAAGGACATTAGAAGACAATCAACATGATAGAAATACAATATATGCATGTTATACAAACAGAATAATCAAACCTACTAAAAAAAGAGGACAAAAAAGAAAGTAACTGTCATGTTGAATATGATCAATATACACTTTATGTATCAAAATATCACAATGAACCTTCTTTGTATGATCAATATAAGCCTAAAATATTAGGCAAAAAATTACAAAATTGAAGTAAATATGAAATGAAAATAAAAGTAGCCGATGATGGTTATGGGTCTGTACCTCAGTTGTCAAACCAATCTGTCCCTAACCAGAGAATTATAAAACAGACCCAACAGTTTTTCTGCTTAAGATTCTGATTAGAGGGCTGGGAAGGTGGCTCAGTGGTAGAGCACTTGCCTTGTGTGCCTGAGGCCCTGGGTTCGATTCTCCAACACCACATAAGAAAAAAGAAAAAAGCCAGAAGTGGCACTGTGGCTCAAGTGGTAGAGCGCTAGCCTTGAGCTGAAGAGCTGAGGGATAGCGCCCAGGCCCCACAACTGGACCAAAAAAAAAAAAAAAGAAAGAAAAGATTCTGATTAGATAAAATCAAAAGAATGGAAAATAAAATGTATACGTTTATTCACAAAGTTTAACATAACATCATACTGCAGATTAAAGCAAATGCATGTGAAATATTCCCAATTTACATAAAAGTACATGGTTAGTGAACATGAGAGACATTTATTCATGCACATATCTGTCTTAAAAAAATTCAATCTGCTTTTTAAAGATGATTGGTCCAACTGTAGCATCTATGTAAAATATATTATACATATTATGTTGAAAGAATTTGGATTCCTTGTTGATATTTTCCCTAAGGCATTCTAATCCACCCACATGGTTATTTTTTAAAAATCACAGTACTAAAATATTTAATAAACAGGGAAAGGATTCCTTATCTAATGGGCTCAAAACACTAATATTACTTCAATGATATCTGAAGACATTTTAGTATGTAATTCCTGAGTATAGTATTCTTGGAAATAGCAGGATCTTAAAGACTGGGTAATCTTTAAGAGGAAGCAGCAGCCTGGGACTTCAAGGGCCAGTCACTTAAAATCTTACAATCTGGGATAGGTTCTGCTAAACACCACCTTGTCAATCATAGAGACCAAGCAAAGGTTGAATAACATGTATCCTATGAACTACTCAAATAATACTTGTATAATTATATATATACAAGCATTTACTAAAGACTTCCTTTGTGATAAGCACTATTCCAAGTGTTGAAAACACAACCAAAATACTAAAATATTTGTCATCATGATTTATTTCTGCATGTTTGTACAATTACTATATCTCTTCTAGCCCAGCATTTTGATCTTTGAATATGTAGCAAGCATGAGCTAATGATCAAGTTTATTTTATAAAATTAATTTAAAAGCTGCAAGATTTCTATAGCTCAGTTCTTACCTGATCCTGTGTTGATAATAAGGTAAACAGAGTTTCCAATGCTGCTCTTCGAACTGATGATATAGTGTGATGCAAAAATGGCCAGACACGTGGAACTAAAACTGTGAGTGACTGTTGAATACTAATAAAGAAGACACAAATTAATCTTACTCATTCTCAGTTGAAACTTCATATATTTATCCAAAGTATCACTCTCATGTGGATCTAGAGACTGAGATTTTAATCTTTTTTATTTTTTTTTAAAAAAAGGTGATTCAATTTTCATATGAACAGTCACCTAATACCCTTACTGAAAAATGTTATTACAGAACCAAAACTGGCAGAGAGAAAGTTTGAATCTAACACTGCGGTTTTCTGTGGCACCAATATCGTGAACTACTTTTATCAACTTAAAACTTTTAAAACTGTTCTTTCTGAAGAAAATGGGATATTTATCTTAGTAATGCAATCAATCAGGTTTACTAAACCTAACTCCATTCTTCCTGTGGCTAACCCCACCAACAGGTAGATAAACATACTATTCATCCCCCTTTGAGGCTATTTATCAAATGGTATGATTGTAGCCTTGTAATTTACTATTTTACTTTAGCAGTAAGTTAAAAGAACTCAAATTTCTTCCTTTTTACAGATGAAATTATAATTGAGGAAGCAAGCAAAACCAAGTCTAGTTTAACTTGAATCATGGGATTCCTGTCATTCATGAATCATTTATAACAGTTACCTGGGTTAAGAAATGATTTGTATTACATTTGAATTATACACCTATGTAGAAAAAAGTATGAACAAAATGGTGTATGCCAACGTTTATATTACTTGTCCAACTTCTGTGCTTCCTTTCTGGAGGCCTACCTTTTAACACTATTTTTTAGTTTCTATGAATATAACCTTTTATGTTAACATTTAGTAAGTTCACTTGCACACACAGACATCAAAACATGCACACACAGACATAAAAGAGACTCAGAAAACATAAAGGCATTACAACAAGGTCTTGTTAATAATGTTTAATGATTCATGCTCCCAAGGACATGTTGCATTTCTTCTTACAAAGCTGGAAAGTATCTGACAGATAGAAGAAGCAAATTTTTGAAACAAATGAAAAAGATGGAAAACTTCAGTATTTCACATTGAATTACCAGAATTTTCATTATTGTATTTTGCTTACATATTCTAGTTTTTCTAACACTATCCACTAAGGCTAATGGGCCAAATTCATTCCTCCTGTATTGTTTTGTTTTGAATTAAGTTTTACTAGCACACAAGCTAGTTCATCACTTCATGTAATGTACATGGCTGTTTATCTGAGATGACAGAGTAGAACAGTTCCTGAGATTGTGGTTCACAAATTAAAAAAAAAAAAATCACTATTGGAACCTTCACAGAAGAGGTTTACTTGTTAAAATCTTGATTTAAGCCAGGCACCAGTGGCTCACGCCTGTAAACCTAGCTACTCAGGAGACTGAAATCTGAGGATCGTGGTTCAAAGCAGCCCGGGCAGGAAAAGCTGTGAGACTCTTATCTCCAATAAAATACTCAGAAAACCAAAAGTGGTGCTTTGGGCTCAAGTGGTAGAGCTCTAGCCTTGAGCTGAAGAGTCGAGGGACAGCACCCCAACCCTAGAGTTTAAGCCTCACAATTGACAAAAAAAACCAAAAAACAAAAAACAATCAAACTTGATATGGAGTATTTTAAAACCCCAATATTAGGGCTGGGAAGGTGGCTCAGTGGTAGAGTGTTTGCCTTGCATGTGTGAAGCCCTGGGTTCAATTTCTCGGCACCATATAACAGAAAAAACTGGAAGTGGTGCTGTGGCTCAAGAGGTAGAGTGCTCGCCTTGAGCTGAAGAGCTGAGGGATAGCACCCAGGCCCAGAGTTTAGGCCCCACGACTGACAAAAAGTAAAATAAAACCCCAATTTAGACAGGTTCTGATGGCCCATGCCTAAAATCTTGGCTATTCAGTGGGCTGAGATCTGAGGATCTCTTAAGCCAGTCCAGGCAGGAAAATCTATGAGACTCTTATCTCCAATTAACCAACAGAAAACTAGAAGTGGAGCTGTAGCTCAAAGTGGTAGAGCGCAAACCTTGAGCAAAAGAGCAAGGGAACAGCACCCAGGCTAGGTTCAAGCCAATGACCGACAAAAAAAAAAAAAAAGAAACAAACAACAACAAAAAAATAACCTTGTATTTTGCAACTTAAGCAATGGAAACAAATAAATAGGAAACTCCACATATGTGGAATTTTTTTAATTTTTTAAAAATTCAATTACTTTTATAGGTACCTGGTTTGACATTTCTACTTGTGTGCTATTGTATGAACCTAAATTTAGCATTCAATTACTACCAGCCAGTCAGCATTACTGAAACATTTGAAACATTTTCTATATATCTTTGATTTTTTTATGTAAAATACTCATATAGTCAGAAATTAATAAAACATATGCTGGGAAGGTGGCTCAGTGGTAGAGCGCTTGCCTTGCGTGCATGAGACTCTGGGTTCGATTCCTCAGCACCATATAAGAAAAAAGCTGGAAGTGGCGCTGTGGCTCAAGTGGTAGAGCACTAGCCTTGAGCTGAAGAGCTGAGAAATATCGCACAGGCCCAGAGTTCAGGCCCCACGACCAGCACCCTCCCCCCAAAATCAAAACAAAAAACAGAAATTATTAAAATATATCATGTGCATATTTACTGACCACTCTCACTAGAACAGTAATTTCCTCATCTGATTCTTTTTTTTTAATTTTAAATTTTCTTGCTCCAGTTCTAGGGCTTAAACTCAGGGACTCTGTCTTTTGCTTGTCTTGCTTACTCATGGCTGGCATTCTACTATTTGACCCACACCTTCAGCCCAGCTTTTACTGGTTAATTGGAGGTAGAGTCTCAAGGACTTTTTTGCCTTCCATCTAGTTTCAAACTGAGATCATCCTAGTCAGCCTCCTGAGCAGCCAGGCATCATGTGTGAAGGTTCAAAAATTTCATGTTTCTTCTATAATGCTAATTAAAAAAAAACAATAATTCAGAGACCAGTCATAAAAATTAGAGAACATTATTTGAGTATCACTTCAAACATTAGAATAGGAAAGTCAGTAACGCTGTAATTTTTTCAATGTGGTGTACATTTCTGCCTCATCCAATCTTTCCCTTTGGGTATTATGTTATATTAGTATGTATTCCTTTTCTGAAGCGAACTTAATTATTCTGAAGAAATAAACATTACAAATAAAAGTTCAAAGAGAAAAGTTTTGGAAAATATAAAGCATTATATATATATATAATCCTAATATCACAGTCAAAAGTACATTCTGAGATGAAAGCTGAAAATAACATGAAATAATAATGTTTTTAAAGTAAACTGTCATAGTGTTCACAAAATAGTAAGTTGTACAACCAAAGTATACCAAGAGTAAGGAAAGTAACCTGCTTTGTTGCAGTGGTGGGGATGGGTGTGTACATGAATACTACCATTTTACTTTATTCCCAGCCCTCAAAGTGCTGGTAGCTAAAGAAGATGACTTCCTGAAAATAATGGTCGTTGCTATCCCCAATTCACTCCACTATCTTTTTTTTTTTTTTTTTTTTCCAGTCGTGAGGCCTGAACTCTGGGCCTGGGCGCTGTCCTTCAGCTCTTCAGCTCAAGGCTAGCGCTCTACCACTTGAGCCACCATGCCACTTCTGGCTTTTCTTGTTTTTGCTTATGTGGTGCTGAGGAATTGAACCCAGGGCCTCAAGCATGCCAAGGGCTCTACCACTGAGCCACCTTCCCAGCCCCCTCACTCCACTATCTTTTGAGTGTGTGTGTGTGCCCGGCCTGGGCACTGTCCCTGAGCCTTTTTGCTCAAGGCTAGTGCTCTACCACTTGAGCCATAGTTCTACTTCTTGCTATCTGGTGGTTAATTGGGGATGAGAGTCTCATGGGCTTTATTGCCAAGCTGGTTTTGAACTGAGATTCTCAAATCTCAATCTAAGTGGCTAGGATTACAGGCATGAGCCACCAGTGCGCAGCCTACACTAGTATTCTTAAAGTTGCAAGATGTCTAGGGCTTAATTAACTAGAAAGTTAGAAAAAGACTTTCTACTTTATACTATTAATTAGAAATAATTACCTGCATTGTTGGACCTGAGGATAAGTTAACAATGATGAAAGAAGAGTCATAATACTATTTGTTGAAGCTGTCAGATCATCTAATTCCAGAAGAGCATCCCATAAGGTATTTATAATAGAGGGTACCTATAAAAAAAAAGAGTCAACAACAACATGTAATTCCAATGAAGTTGCCAGTTTTTGTCTTTTTTGTATGTGTCCTGGTCCTAGAACTTAGGGAGGGCCTGGAAGCTGTCTATGAGCTTTTGTGCTCAAGTCTAGCACTCTACCTACCATTTGAGCCAGAGCTCTACTTCTGTTTTGGGTTTTTTTAGTAGTTTGTTGGAAATAAAAGTCTCATGGACTTTCCTGCATAGATTGGCTTCAAACAGCAATCCTCAGATCTCAGCCTCCTGTGTATCTAGCAGTACAGGTGTGAGCTACCAGTACCCAGCTCAAACTTACCAGTTTTAAGCAAAGGACATTAAAAAGACATTTACAGGAGGAGGGAAGTAATTGAGGAGATGGGGAAGGAAGGATGGTAGGGGAAAAACAAAGGAGGCAGCAACAATCCTCGATAGGAAATTACCTTACTCGTAACTGTAACTCTTCTGTACAGTATTAGAATAAAACACACATTAAAAAAAAGACATTTACAATTAATAATGCTCTATCCCGCCTCCTTTTTTTTGGCCAGTCCTAGGGCTTGCAGGGCCTAGGCACTGTCCCTGAGCTTCTTTTGCTCAAGGCTAGCATTCTACCACTTGAGCCACAGCAACACTTCTGGCTTTTTCTGTTTATGTGGTACTAAGGAATCAAACCCAGGGTTTCATACATGCTAGGCAAGCACTCTACCACATTCTCAGCCCCTATACCTCCTCCTTTTAATGCCATTCTATTCTACTCTATTGCTTTCTTGTGAACTAGATTCATACTGGACATGAATAATCAGAAAATAAAATAGCTTTTTGTTTTTGTAAGAGACAGAGACTCGAATTCAATATTGGCTTTCACTCACTGGCTGGTACTCTACCACCTGAGCCATGCCTCCAATTCCCAAAATAGTTAATTTTCTATTTTATGTAAAAGACTAAATTTCAAAAACAATACTATACAATGATACAAGGTATGCTACTCTATGTAAAGCAATTTTAGATGATACCAGCCATCACAAAAAGACAAATTTAGTTTTTCAGCTCATAAAATAATGCTAGCTGTACTTTAAACTTTGTGTTCTGGGTTTCATGAAATGAAACCATAGCTATAATCTAAACTTTAGTTAGTTGAAATATCTACATTTAAAAGAAAAATTATAGCTGGGCGCCAGTGGCTCACGCCTGTAATCCTAGCTACTCAGGAGGCTGAGATCAAAGCCAGCCCCGGCAGGAAAGACCGTGAGACTCTTTTTTTTTTTTTTGGGTCCGGTCATGGGGCCTGAACTCTGGGCCTGGGCACTGTCCTTCAGCTCTTCAGCTCAAGGCTAGCACTTTACTACTTGAGCCACAGCGCCACTTCCGGCTTTTTTCTTTTTGCTTATGTGGTGCTGAGGAATCGAACCCAGGGCCTCAGGCATGCAAGGCAAGGGCTCTACCACTGAGCCACCTTCCCAGCCCCAAGACCGTGAGACTCTTATCTCCAATTAACCACCAGAAAACAGAAAGTAGCACTATGACTCAAGTGGCAGAGTGCCAGCCTTGAGCTGAAGAGCTGAGGGACAATGCCCAGGCCCAGTTCAAGCCCCACAACCAACCAAAAATAATATTAACAATAATAATCCCTTCAAAAAAATTAGCTCAGATTTTAAAAAGCCAAAACCTAACATAAAAAGTAGATAACAGATATAATACATAATCAAGATTTTTTGGGGTTGGAGGCGTAGCTCGTTAGTAATGAGTGAAACCCATTACCACCTGCCAATCAGACAATGAACAAAAGTATCAAGATATGGAGTTTGAATCCTGGTCTCAGACCAAAAAAACAAACAAACAAAAATTTTCCTGCCTCAGATTAATGTATGTCACAAGAAAATTAAGAATAAAGGAGAAAAAAGAACGAGATGTTTTCCCAAATACTCCACGTCCTAAGTGTAAACATTTTTCTCCAAGGAGCAAACATAAGGAATACTGAATGTACCTTTTGTGTCTGAAGGTAGACCAGGCTTTCTACGACAGGCACTAATGATGCTGCAGCAACAGCTCTGACATCGTCATCAAGATCTTGAAGTCCTTCGATTACTCTAGTTAAAACTTTAGGTAATAAAGTATTAATTACATCCTATAAAATAGTAAAACAAAATAGATTAATTTTTTTATAACAATGTTTGCCTTTAAATATTTCTACTTTTTTTAGTGGTTCAAACTTGCTTCAAACTTGCTAGATAAGCACTCCACCACTTATATATGTAGTTAATGAAAGCTACTTCTTTGCACCTTTTTTTTTTTTTTTGGGCAGTCATGGGATTAGAAGTCTGGGCCTGGGCACTGTCCCTCAGCTCTTCAGCTCAAGGCTAGAGCTCTAACACTGGAGCCTCAGCACTATTTCAGGTTTTCTGAGTGGTTTATTGGAAATAAAGAGTCTCACGGCCTTTCCTGCCCCGGAGATCCTCAGATCTCTCAGCCTCCTGAGTAGCTAGGATTACAGGCATGAGCCATGGGCTCCCGGCCTCTTTTCCCATTCATATGTAGTTAATAAACTAAAACAATAAATTCACTTTAACAAAAACTGAAGTAGTTACCTGACGTACTGCCAATGCATATTTAATTCCCAGCAGACCACCATGTCTGACTTCCCACTGATCTTGTGTAAGTAATTTTAGCAGTACATCTACAGTTTTATGAACTCCTGTTTCATTCATGTGTTTTAAAACCACTCCTAATGTTTGAGCACAGGTTTCACGAACTGGTGCTACAACCTACAGAACAGAAAGAAAAAAAAATGTGCATTTGCAAATAATCTTGTAGTATTTGTAATTTGTTTAGGCAAAACTTGACTTAGGTGATACTTACTTCATCAGAAACAAAGTCTCCAAATCTGTCCAATGCAAAAACACAAAGGAGTCTAATAACCAAGTCTTCCAACCACTCTTGATGCTGCTGAATCATCTATTAAAACACAATTATTTTTAATAACAAAAACCACATGTATACTGGGATGGAAAGACACCTTATATCTAAAATAAAAAAAAAACAAAAAACAAAAGCGGGGTAGATTATTTGTGTATGTGTGAGCGCCAATACTGGGGCTTGAAATCAGGGCAAGTTCTTGCTTAACTTTTTCACTCAAGGTTGTCATTCTATCACCTGGGCTATATTGCCACTTCCAGATTTTTTGTTGGTAAATTGGAGAAAAGATTTCTGGTAGCCAAGCACTGGTGTTTCACACCTATAATCCTAGCTACTCAGGAGGCTAAAATCTGAGGATGGTTATTCAAAACTAGCTCAGGTGGAAAAATTCCATGAGACTCTTCTCTCAATTAACCACCAAAAAGTCAGAAGTAGACCTGTGGCAAGTGATAAAGTGCTAGCCTTGAGCAAAAAAGTTTTTAAGGGCTGCACTCAGGCCCTGAGTTCAAGTCCCAAGAGACCAGCATAAAGAAAGAAAGGGGGGAAAAAGAGAGGAGAGAAAAAAAGACAGACAGACTCTTCTATTTGTGTGCCTGAGCTGGTTTAAAACTGAGATCCTCAGAACTCATCCTTTTGAGTAGCTAGGAGTACAGGTGTGAGCCTCTGCCACCCGGCCAGGACAGATTATTTTAATAGAATGAACAATAACCAAAAAGTATAACAGTCCTAATTATGAATTTTTTTAATTAATTAATTTTTTTATTGTGAAAATACCGTACAGAGGGGTTACATGGGCAAGATAATGAGTAAATTTCTTATGAAGCATTGTTGCCTCCTCCTTTGTTTCCCCTTCCTATCCCTTCCCATTACCCCCTTAGCCCCCCCTACCGGATCCTCCCCCACACCAAAGTTGTAAAGTTTGTTTTTCAACATAACGACTTGTACATCTCATTGTTGCAATGGGTCCACCTGTATCCCTATTGAAACGATTTGTTTTTTCCCTTCCCCTCCACAAATTATACCAACATCAAATACAGTGTTCAAATTTTTTTTCTTTCATGCAATTGTTTCTAACATATTTATAATTTCTTTGTTGCTTTGTATGTCCCTAATTATGAATTTTTAAATTAATTATGTCTTCTTTGATGATCAGTTGGAGTAAGATTCAAAATTCATAATTCTTGTTACTTGTACTTCAAGAGAAATTACTTGAGATTTCTTTGTTATCAAGTATAACTGTCACATAGCTACTATCTATCCAATCACCAGTCTCGTTACTCCAGTCATGTTTCTCACTGACCTTTCTGATAGTAACTTATTTATATTACTCTACTTTCCAATTATATCCTATATAAATACTCTTTCTGGAAGTTTTCCACTCAATGTTTCTAAACATCTTTCTCCAGAACTCATTTTTCCTGTCTAGAAATACTTTTCCTTATTTAAAAATGTATTTTTATTCTTTTTTTGTCAGTCGTGGGACTTGAACTCTGGGTCTGGGCGCTGTCCCTCAGCTCTTCAGCTCAAGTCAAGTGCTCTACCACTTGAGCTACAGCACCACTTCCGGTTTTCTGGTGGTTTATTGGAGATAGGAGTCTCATGGTTTCTCCTGCCTGGGCTGGCTTTGAACCGCGATCCTCAGATCTCAGCCTCCTGAGTAGTTAGGATTACAGGTGTGAGCCACCAGCGCCCGGCCTATTTTTATTCATTTTTTTATCTATTTATATTTCTCTTATCCCACTTTATATACATACTCTTATTATTTTCCTATGTTGGAAATAGAGGCTAACCTCTAAACCTTGGCAATAATTACAGCTCTAATACACTTACCTCTTCTAAAGTGCTATCTCCCATTTTACCACCACTTTTTCCATGAGCTTTAAGAATTTCCCTAAGTCCTGTGCCTGCTCCATGTCGAACCTAAAAAAGTACCAAGAATCAAATGTCAGAGGTTAAATATTCACACAAACTGAGTTTTTCTCTTCAATATGAAAGAGAATATTGCATTTTGAAGAAACTAAGTTTAAGTGATACATTACAAGAACGCATTTTTTGCCAGGCACTGGTGGCTCATGCTTGTAATCCTAGCCACTCAGGAGGCTGAGATCTGAGGATCAAAGTTTGAAGCCAGCCTGACTCTTATCTCTGATCAACCACCAAAAAGCCAGAAGTGGAACTATAGTTCAAGTGGTAGAGTGACAGCTTTGAGTGAAAAAGCCAAGCTACCACATGAGGCCCTGAGTTCAAGGCCCAATACTGGCACCAAAATAAATAAATAATCAACTATATAAGAATTACATATTTCTGGGGCTGGGAAGATGGCTCAGTGGCAGAGCTTGCCTTGCATGCATGAGGCCCTGGGTTTGATTCCTCAGCACCACACAAGCAAAAAGAAAAAAAAAGCCGGAAGTGGCGCTGTGGCTCAAGTGGTAGAGTGCTAGCCTTGCGCTGAAGAGCTGAGGGACAGTGCCCAGGCCCAGAGTTCAGGCCCCACGATTGGACCCAAAAAAAAAAAAAAGAATTACATACTTCTTAACTTTCTTTTATGTGTAATGTTTTAAAAGTCAACCAAGAAAACAGCTATTCTAGTATTCTAGCATATGGCTGTCCAAGTAAAGGAAAGAAAAAGAGTTTTGTATTTTTCTCAGAACCCAAATACCAGTATTTTAGGAATACATGCATTAGCATTAAGTTCCAGAGCTACCAGTAATAATAGCCAAGAAGACAATTCAAACAAAACATTTCTACTACACTGGAGCCCACTCTCCTTTCTCAGAGAAGGTGAGGATATTTTGCCAAGTGTTATGACATCTGGAAGGGAAATTCAAGCCAATGACACTCCACTCACTTATTCAAACCTGGACATGAGTTAAGACAATTTCAAAGAGAAGTACACCAAGGAACAGAAATGCTTCTGAAAGGTATCCAAAGTGGGGGTTTCCCCTCCTCCTTTCTGCACCAGCAATTAAACCCTGGGTCTCTCACATGCATTCTAACATTGAGCTACAACTATAGACCCAATGCAAGGTAAGGAAATTAAGTAACAAAATCCAGGGGAAAACCAAAGGAGAACAGAATGGTTTAAGACTACCAATACATACATTCAACCAGAGGCTTTACTCTCACCTCTCTTATATACTGGGATTTGTTCAAGTGTTGGAGATTTCTTTCAAAGAAAGAAATCTTTTGGAGTGAAAAAGTTGGTGTGAAAATACGGAGTTTTTTGTTTTGTTTTTGTTTTTCTCTTCTCTCTGGTGCTAGGACTTGAATTCAGGGCCTAATAAATAGTAACACACACATACAAACTAACCACTGACATATACTCAGCCCTTTTTTTTTTGGGTCCAGTTGTGGGCCTGAACTCTGGGCTTGGGTGCTGTCCCTCAGCTCTTCAGCGCAAGGCTAGCACTCTACCACTTGAGCCACAGCGCCACTTCCGGCTTTTTTCTTTTTGCTTATGTGGAGCTGAGGAATCGAACCCAGGGCCTCATGCTTGCAAGGCAAACGCTTTACCACTGAGCCACCTTCCCAACCCCTATACTCAGCCCTTGATCAAAATTGTTTACTTTCGAAAATAAGTAATTTTTACTTTATAGAAAGAAATGAAGCTGAAAAAGAAATGATAGTGGAAAGAATGAAAAGGACAATTCACTTCAGAATATGGTTAAAATGATGAGAAAGGTGAAAAATCAGTCTAAAGTTTTACTTTCAAGGTAATAACATGTATCACAAATTCAGGGAGTCATAAAAGAGAAGAGGTACACTAACATAACATTCTTAACCTTGTTCCCATCATTAGGACACAAACAAAAAAAAAGTTGATAAAGATGTTTTTCTTACCTCCCAGGAGGGATTAAAAAGATCATTGCAAAGTTCTTCACAAAAACTTTCCAAAGGCCATTCATTTGTCTAAGTAAGAAAAATATAATTACTCCTGACTCAAAGGGTTTATTTTACACTAACAATTTAAGTAATTCAATAAAGTATATTTATTTTTAGGTCTACTAATAGTATCTAGGCTTTAAACTTTTTTAATGAACAAGATTTTTTACAAATGAAGTGAAGATATGAAATTTTTATTAATAAAATCTCTCTCAATAGACAAACTACTCAATATTCTGACACATTAATTTGAGAAAATTATAAACAATTTCAACGTACCTCTTCAATTAAGGAAGAAGTGTCTGGAATATTATCAATCAGGACTTTAGCATCATTTGTCGTCTGATTAATAACAACATTTGCTATTTTCCGTCTCTTTTCTTCTGGCTCCCCATCAGTGCTATCATTGCTAAAAAAGAAAAGTTGCCATTCTGAAGTTAACAAAGCATAATGTAAACCAAAATGAATGTAAGAGAATACACTGTTTTAACAGATGCTTTTACCATTTTATGCTTATTCCATGTGTCAAAAATTAAACTTACTGCTTCATGTTTTTGGGGGGTTTGGTTATGAGGCTCGAACTCTGGGTATGAGCACTGTCCTTTAGGTCTTCAGCTCGAGGTGAGCACTCTACCACTTGAACCACACTGCTGCCACTTCCTGTTTTCTGGAGGTTAATTGAAGTCTCAGACTTTCCTACCCAGGATGGCTTTGAACTGCAATCCTCAGATCTCAGCCTCCTGAGTAGCTAGGATTACAGGTGCAAGACACCAGCGCCTCGCTTTGCTTAATATTTTTTTTTTTTGGTCGGTCATGGGGCTTGAACTCTGGGCCTGGGCGCTGTCCCTCAGCTCTTCAGCTCAAGGCGAGCGCTCT